ATTATTAAAAACTAGATCATTGGATAATGCAATTCAAGACTTTTTATTGGCTTAGCCATTATGGTATATCAGCCAATATACCATAATCGACAAATATGGCAAGCATACGTGTCAGCTTAAAATTAAAAGGGAGCTAAAAATTTAATAAAATTTAATAATTTAATTTAACGTTTTTAATAAAACAATTATTCCCCTCGCGCTTGTTGGATATGAGATGATTATAGCCAACTCAGCGCTACGCGCCTCGTTGGCTATCTATCATCTCATATCCAACGTGCACTTGTGGAATAATTGTTAATTATATATCTGCATTTGAATCATGGAATGTTGTAGGTTGAGTTCTACCTTTCTGGTTATTTGATTTCTCTGCCTAGTTTGTTTTCTCATCTTTGTCAACAAAATTACACTCTTTTACTCCAACCAGTTAAGGTGTAGTTTTTGGAGGTCGGTACTGTCTGTTTTAACCTTATCTGCTGTGCCTGCTCCCTTGTGGCAAGTATTTTAACTATGTATAGAAGAATTTTCCAGGGCCCAGTTTTTCTAAGGGCAGATAATGCAATGTGATAGAAGAAATTAAAGGCATTAAAGGGTTGAAAAAATGTACTGGGCTATTCACCCTGCAGGTAGGGATTTATCCAGTGGATAACTTATCTACCCCTTGAAAAAAAGGGACTTGATGGCCCAGCTGTATAAAGGGCGGATAATACTATCCAACAGATGAAATGCTAACCACTGGATATTAAGTGATTTTTAATAGACTAGCATTCTCAAGTCATGTTGCACTGTGTAAATAAGTCATTTTAACTTTAGCCTTCAAACCTCAGCTTCCCCATTTAAATCAACAATATTCATTTTCCACAGGACCTCCTTGAGTATCGGTTGGAGCAAAAAAGAGAGTCAAGGCCATTAAAGAAATCTTTAACTAACTCAACAGTGCCACGTTTTTTGCCTTCGACTGAGGCCACTGAAGTTATGACTTCTATTAGGGATGAACATAAGGTAAGTTGATAGTTCTGAGGTCTGTTGATAGTAACTTAGATTAGAGTTACATGTAACTTCATGCATGCAGTAATGTACGATTTATTTCATTTTAAGTTTAAGACTTTTTGACACTCAATTATGTCAGCTAACTTGATTTTACCACTCCAGTGACCAGGGAAGGGGCTGTTCTCATGTAGACACACACTCAGTAGGTAGATGAATGTGTCACCAAAGGGTATTTTTGTTGTATAAAATATGGTTTGAGGATGGTCCGAAATACACCATCCACCTCTTGCTACTCAGGGGTAGTAATAGGGCTGATACAGGTAGGCTGCATTTTCATGAATGGCAAAAGTCTTGGGGTGCACCCTCAGTGTGATTGGTAGATATGGGGCACCTTTTTGATATCAATTAAATGGGTACCAGCAAATTTAATGCTGGGGGGGTAACCCTGCGATGGACTAGCAATATCCCATCCAGGGGGGAGACTCCTAGTCGCTTCATGCTACAGAAACTGGAGTCAAGCACTGCAGCTCTGATGGGCCACTGGCTCGTAAACAGACTTTACTTTTCTTCTTGATATCAAATGATGTTTCTTTTCTTTTTTTCGCTGCAGCAAAGGAAAGAAGGAATGAAACCCTGGCTTCAAGGAAGACTAGCACTTTCTAAGCAGACAAGTAGATTTGAACTTCCCATGGATGTGAAATTACTTGAAGGTAGTTGTATGGTTATTATGATAATTATTCAGTGAATGCATGTCTTCAACCCAGAGTGGTTTGATTCACCTATCTTGCCATGATTAATTTTAATTTTGTTTTCCTCAGAGATGACACCAATGGAGTATTTGACAAAGTACTGTATTATAAGGTTCGTGGCATATTCATCTCAAGTGAACCTTGTCTTTTTATCAACAAACTTCCGTGTAGTTACACAGCCATGCAATTCTCAAAAAGTGATGAAAGAAATCATATGTTGTCCTGATGTTGATTACAGATGAAAGAATGATCCTCTCAGTTGATTTACATTGAAAGAAATTGCAAAAAAGAGAAGCCTGAAAACATTTGGGCTTGATCAGGGACCATATTGCCTCATAGTTATCAGGTGGACAACTAATAACTGGAAGGCACATATTTGAACCTTGTGAAAGCCTGAATTTATCAGACTTCTCTTTTGCAACTTGTTTAATTCCAGTTTAATGTGCGTATCATTATTTTATTTGTAATCATCCATGCATCAAAGTATATTTTAGTTCCTCTACTTTTGATCACATCCCTTTAAAGGTAACATAGAACCAACCAAAATTTGTCTCACTCTCAACAATTGGTTAGGTAGCTGATTTTGTAGTCAGAGCACTATTGGCATATGGCAACTAGTGATTGGGAGGCATTAATTGGTGCAAAACTCAGGTGAAGCCTGAAAATTTCAAACTTCTTTTTCTACAGTTTCTTAATAGCTGTTAGGAAGCGAAACAGAAAATACAAACAGACACTTTATTCCAACACAGAAAACTGTAGACTCATGGTAAACGGCAACAACCGTTAAAGAAAATGCCAATTAATCGATAAACTAAGAAACTTAATTTCAACTCTTTTCTATAAAAATTGCACACATCAAAAACAAAAAGGTCTACGTGATTTGCTTACATGGATATTTATAACCTACATAAACCCAAAGCACGTGCATGCAAGTCGCGCACGCACAAGTTCGTTAACCTCTTCTTAACAATAGTAATGTACCTGTGAGAATCATTCCTGTATAGTGTTACAATCTAGAAATCTGACAGCATTGAAATGTAAATGAAAGTTTCTACATATTTAAACAATTCAACATGTTACTTTCTAGCACAAGAAGGAAAGCACTTTACAAGCATATATTTCAGAAGGTGGATAAAGACAGAGATAATCAAATAACTTTTAAGGTAGGTAATTCAACTAAATTAATTGTTTGTATTTATTGAATTCATATCCTGGAGTTAAATTGTTTTAGTCAAAACTCAAGATTGAAGCTTCTTTTAATTTGATTAAAAGGAGATGAATAGGGGCTTAAGAGAGATACACGTGGACTCTATATCAACAGAGCAGATTAAGAAACTAATAGAGGTATGTCTGATATTGTCATTGTGCCTCCACATTTTTTTCTTCATGAAGATATTGTCTGCAAGTAATAACTATTCATGGAAGTGGATATATGGCTAGTGATGGATATTCAAGTCACCGACACTAAAGTGAACAGTTGTTTTTATTACTTATATATACACAGAAACAGTGTGATAGTATGGCACAAAAGATTATTTTAATTAAATAAATGTATTCCTACCAAGATTACAACATTTTTTGGGCCCAAATCCTGCGCAATCTGCTGAGAGGTGAATAGTTAACAACTATTCACCAAAGTGGAGGTGGTTAGGGGTGGATATTTACCAAGCCGTAAAGCAGCGAGGTAAATATCCACTGCTAACCACCAACACTGAGGTGAATAGTTGTTTTAGTATGTACTAAAACGGTGAGATAATATACACCACCAAAAATTGATTTGAGTGATTTCTTCACTTGTCATGGATGCAAACCTGGATGCCATTTTTTCCCAAGTTGCTCGGAGTTAAATAGCAAACGATATTTGGAGTTTGACTAGCCAATCAGAGTGTGCCTTCAATGCTATCCACTGATTTAGTATATACTAACAAAGGATATTTGGAGTTTGAATAGCCAGTCAGAGTGCACCTTCTGTGCTATCTGCTGTTATGCTGTCATGCATGTTAGTATTATGCTATTGTGTGTTATTTTCTAAGGGTGAGGTAATGATAAATAACTGTTAAAGAAAAATTATAATTTTTAGCTCAAGTCATAAGTTGGATAATACTTTTTTCTTTATTACAGATGGTTGAAGGAAATGAGAAGTCTACTTTCAGTCTGGCACAGTTTTCAGCAATTGCTGCATTTTCTGAAAGGTTGCTCCTCTCAGAAACACAGTAAGTGGTTAGCTTGCTTACCCCTTAAACATTACATTATAACTGTATCCTTAATGTGCTATGGTTGTTTTTGGTGTTGGGCAAGCAACACTGACAAGTCACAAATTTATTAATATATAGGAAACAAACAATGATCTCAACCAAATTCTATTTTTGCTAATCATTGTTTTGGACCAAAACAAGCAAATATGATAATTGAGGAATTTAGATGGCATTCTGCATTTATTTTGACTAATAGGATTGATCAGTGTTATGTTTTTCGATATGACCTGGTACATGAATAACCCCAGTTGCAGTGAGAATAGATTTCTAAAGTTCTCTTAACTGCTGATCCAGGCTATATAATAAATTATATTTCTTTGTTCTAGGGTGACAGAAAAGAACAACCCATACAGTTCAAAGGAAATTATTGAAGAGGCAGACTTCTGTGGATTGAAATCAAAACTTAGTGGATTCCCTGTAAGTTTTACAACTGTTGCCTTTTTTTAGGTAGAATTTGTTAAATTATAATCTCTTCCAGAAGAAGGCACATACAAAATAGATTGCTGCTAAAAATACCAGTTAGGGGCTAGGGTGAGGCTTCTGTCTGATTTTGCTATTGAATTGGGTCCTATAAGTTGAGTTTTCTTCAATTCAACAAGTAAAAAGTGTTTAAAATGTCAGGTTTCCCTCCTTTCTCACTTAAAAAAAAAGTGCAAAAGTCAGTTCCCACCAGATATTTCAGATAGTATCTTAAACTGAAAAAATTAGTAACTTCCTGTTTAAAAGAAATCACCAATAGGAAAAATAAAACTCCAAAAGAAAACTCTGCTACACAGAAGTATGGCAGGGGGAGAATTGTCCAGGCTCTGGTTGATGATAGATGAAAGTTTAAATTCAAGCAGAAGACAGGGAAAAGAATTGTTAGTCTCACTTTGATTTTAATATGTTTCCAATTTTTTTTTCCTCATGTGATCTATTTTTTTCTCCATCTTTCAAGGTTAACCCCAACGTGAGGAAAATTCTGGAAGTGCTCTAAGTTGATAAAAATAATATATGTTTAGTAAACTTAATTATAAATTGGTGGATATGTGACATGTTGTTGCACCATATTTAATATTTAAAAAGAGAGGGATACAATTTGTTCATATTTTAACAGATCAAGGATCTTTTATAGTAAGCTAATTGTACATAGTAGAAATTATACAGTAGGATCTAACACTTTTGGTATTGGGCCTGGTAATAGGAGCCAATGCCATTTTGTAATTACATAGGAACTACTGCTTAAAACGGTGGGGTTGAAACTCTTTGGAGGGAAGAATCATCTGTTTATACTCTTTGTAAATGTAGTGTCATGTTAGGTTGTTCAATTTGTAGTGGAAGAACCCATTTGTATTTCGGTTTGTTGCTTTCTCTCTGCCTAAGAAAAAACTAAAGATAAGTCTGTATATCATATGGACCTCAGGGATAACCTTAATACTTTGTACCCACAACTGAAAATAACAAGGCATGTTAAAAAAAAATCGAATCACTGGTGTATCTTGACAGCATGGATATTCCAGGAAAAAACAAACCTTGTACTTTTTTTTTTCCTCAGGAGTAACTACAGTTATATGAAAATATTGTAATTAATGAAACTAAATGTGTTCTAATGCACATTAACACATAAAAGCCAAAGTCTTACAAGAGAAACTCAGTTACTTAACTCAGTTACTTTACTCAGTAGTTAATGTTTTCAATTTTTTTATTTGCAAAATATATTTGTTAATTTCAAGAATATCCATTTGTTAAGTATTCCATACACAGAATATGTAGTGTTAACTCTGTTATTTTATCCTAGGAAGGATTTTTTGTATAAATTTGGTTTAAAATAAATCAGCATATTGAAGGAAAATACCTTTTTGTTCATCCCTAGAACTTTTCTGTTGAAAAAACATTATTTTCTTCCAGCTGATGGAAACCTTAACCCATCACTTAGAAAAGTAGGGCAAGTGAAAGGTGTTTTTCATCGTCACAAACATGGGATAAAGAAAAATTCTTATTTTCCATGAGAAATCAAACCTCAGACCTTTGCATTAATAGCCATTATGAAGTTCATTTATATTTAACAATTGGTTCATGCTTTAGTGTGCACTATCGAGTTATGGAGCATGCGGGAAGTTTGGAGAGCACGAAAGAAGCGTAAGAGTTGCCAGAGGCAATAGCTGAGGGCAACTCTAGCTTGTTGAGTGCTCTCCAAACTTCCCACGTGCTCCATAACTCGATAGTGCACAGCTGAAAGCCTGAACCAATTGTTTTAGAACATAGCCGGTGGAATTGTACATCAAATCTGATGCAAAAAACAGACAACAATATCAGTTGAAGCGAGTCGTGACAGCGCTGATGCCGAGTCTCCTTTTCCTTTGTTTTTCTCTTTTTCTGCCTCATTTAAGAACTCTAGCCCAAGGGAAAAGGTCGAAACATTGTCTTCGTTTTTGGACTAGTAGGCCGAGTTTCTGTTTGTATCCATTATTGTCACGAAATATATTATTTTTCCCCACACTAACAATGGCTGCTCGCGCGAAAAGAAAAATTTCTGGTGAAGTCGGATTTGCTGACGCTATCAACGTGCACTATCGGGATTTTGAGGACGCTCGATCACATATAATGAATTTGATTGCACGACTCTGATAGCTATTTTCTAACAAGTGTCTTGCATACTGCTAGGCAATACTGATAGCGTCATGTTTTGTAAATACAATAAGATGGTGAGTTTTGAGCTCGATAAAGAAACAGAGAAAGATTGCTTCCGTCTTGTCCTGAGTGTGGGACAAAGAAATATTCACCATCTTTTTATTTACAAAAGTTGGGTAGGTGTTGTAGACCACTGTAAAAGGAACCAATGTTAACTCCTTTCAAGTTAGAAATTTCCCCTATGAGAGTAACTCCCTATTCATAAGGAACTCAAACTCATTCTTGTAGACAATACAATGTTATTACTGTCCTCTTTCACAACTGAAGTTGAATAAAAGGACACGTAATAGGTTACTTCCTTCTGCACCGTCCCCAACATAATCAGCTTATCTGTTACTGAATCTTTTTGACAATCAAGTCTTCCATGCTGGCGGATAACACGTTCGGTTTTGACCTCTGGTGCAATGGTGATCTTGATTTGTTAAAGAACATGTTTGATATTGTCTCGCCGTAAATTTTCCACGCTACGCCGATGAACACAAAGTTGACTACTGTACAAACAATCAAAAACCAAGACAAGCGAATTTGCCAATCGTCATTTCGCCAGAGATCCCTAAAGTTCTCTTTGATTCCGTTCCATGTTTCTGTTTGGTTTGAGAGAAGATATACCGGATCAAGAGAGATGTTCCAGGAAGCAAACCACGGTTTTAAATGTCGAAAATAATCCATTTCACAGTCCAGTAAAACTTTTCATGCGGACAGCCATCTTTATTTTTATAATCTAGACCCAGATCATTAGCGGCCATAATTTTTGATGAAGGAACTTTTTATCATGGGGTAGGGACGGGGATTATGGTTAGGGAGGGGTTCTGAGACGGAGAGCTCCAGGAGCTGCAATGGTCAGATGAAGGCCTGAAAAACAATCTCAGCCTTGACCACCCCATTTTCGGTCATGCAGTGGTGTTGACGGTGACGAAATACCAAAGAAGACATAAAATCTGTGGTAATGTATTAGATTAGGGATCGACAGGGCGTCTACAAATTGCTTGGAGAATTATTTGCAGAAAAGAACATTTGGTCTTGAAAGATGGAACGAAAATAAATATAACAGCTCCATTCGGTAAAAAAAAGAACTTGCATGATGAAAATACTATTTAACGCAGGCCAGCAGAAAATGGTGATGACCCTAGAGAGGATGTATTTGCCATTTTGCGTAAAAATCCTCAAGTTTTACATGTTCACACCCAATTTTTAGGGTTGTGATTCACAAGATTATCCCTTCTTGGCTGAACTATGATCATACAGCTTTGGCAAAATTGATACAGGGTGAAGAACTGACATTGCGGAAGTGATAAATAAAAAAAAAGAAAAGAAAAAGGAAAATATTTGGAAAGAGATATTCGAGTTGTAGGATGATGCCGTGGTATCAGAATGGCTGGATCAGTGGTTTTGAATAGTAAAGAAAATAAAAGTGATCACAGCTTGTGATACCTGCCTATGATACGTCTGCGGAAGTGAAGGAATAACCATATAAAGCTGTTTCAAACGCGCTTCAAACAAAAACTTCACGGGGTCGGCGATGACCGGAAATTGTTGGCAGGCGATATTGAAGTGTGATTGGTTCACCGGATAGCGGTAACGTTAGAAATAGTATTGCGGTTCATTTGTTGACAACGTGCCCCTGCTTGTAGCCATTTAAGGAAAGAGAGATTTGGAGACAGCCACAACAAAGTCGGCAGCAAATCCAAAAATATTTTGCCGTTTGGGGTGATAAATTTTGCGGTCAGATCACCAGTTTCGTGTTAAGTGATCACAAGTCCTTGCGTGCGCCTGCAAACTTTCGGGGTGTGTACAAAGCCGTCAAACTTTACTGTAAGAGATGGTGGATTTTTTTTTGTGCGATGCTCAAGGGTGACCTTGTAATTCTTGATTGCACGATTGTGAATAAGAATCAGTAGTTTGTTGCCTCAATTGACCTTTATTCTCTTGTGAGTTTTGGTCAACCACAAGGAGGAATTGTTTTACTACCCTGGCATTCTTGCATTCCTAAGTTTGAGCTGTGAGTTTAGTCATGGAGAGCGATCTGCAAGCTAGGGATCGCATTGGAGTGCAAGATTTCGTTCTTCTTGAGGACTTTAAAAGCGAAGATGCCTTCCTAGAAAACTTGAGGAAACGCTACAACTCTGGCTTGATTTATGTGAGTGTAAAGAGAGTGAAATTTTGCATATACGAAAGTTTGCTTTGATTCGCGAGGTGCTCATTTACAGCACGCTAGCCTTTTCCCTTCACTGTATAACTCGATAGCTCAACCGGAATATTTTTTCTTGTCACCAAATGCCAGTATAATTTCCATTTGGAAATCAACTTTAGCTACAGTACCCGAAGTATTGCTCTGATGTTGCTCACTCTTTATTACTTAGCTGTTTTCGGCGAAGGCTTGTTTATTTTCTTTCATGATAAATCAGCAGGAAACTGAAGACCCAAACACATTAGGATGGTTTTTGTGAATTATTGCTTTGTGTCTATGTTATGATTATGTGCATTTTATTGTTTAAAACAGACCTACATTGGGACCGTGGTTGTTTCCGTAAACCCCTACAAGACTCTTCCAATTTACAATCAAGATGTTATCGAAAAGTACCGAGGGGAAAATCTTTACGAACTCCCACCTCACGTGTAAGTTAATACTATTGCAGAGATCATTTGTGTTATTTTAACCTTATTATGTAGAAATCAAAAGATCATTTATGACGAATATTTTGACTTGATATTAATGAATGATTCACCGAATTGCTGAAGCAATTTCATCGAGCGATTGAACAATGGTTTTAATCGCGTCGTGAATTAGAACTAAATTTTTTAAATTTAAAATGCATGTAATATTAATGGAAATAAAACATACCGAAATTCATAGAATGAAATTAAAAAGCTTTAAACTTTGTACTTTCTATAAGCAAGTTCCTTCTTCATAGCTTTTGAATTACCAAAAATATATTTTTTTATGTAATATTTTCCAGAGTTTATGCCTTTGAATTTAACAGCTAGTTGAAGACTTTGAAATATTCTTATTTGTTTAAAAGCCACTGCTGAATATTAATGACAGTCATCTTTGCACTTTGATCAAATTTGTTTTCTTTAACGGTTAATAATTGTATTTGTAGGCTTAAATATCATGCAATTGGTTCAACTTCCTCATTAATTAGCTCATCTTTTTCTTAATGATATACCTTAAATGCTGATAATCCCATCCCCAATTAAGACCTTCAAGTTTTATTACGTCCTGTGTTCTGACATGGCCAATTCTCCTCCTTCCCCCCGATCAAAAAGTCTTCATAGTTGTCTTCAGTTGGTGGCTTTACAATACAAAATATGCCTTTATTTCTATTACATTTTGTAGCTAAGGTTTTAAACTACACCAATAAATTGATATACAATATTAATTAAATGTTGATGACATCCCAGATAAAAAATAGTAAATTGTGGCCCGGCCCTTGATAAAATTTTAAACCCCTTCATTTATGGGAGTGACCAAGTAATTTCTTATGATATGATACTTTCAGAAAGGTGAATCAGATATGTTAGTGATATATATGATATTTTATGATATGATTCCTTCAGAAAAGTGATGAGTGGAAAGAAATGTATCAACAAAGGGATATCGATTGACTAAACTCCAAATTTTTAGAACTAAAACTATAAGGAATGCATTGAAGAGAGAGGAGAGAATTGATATTAACATCTTGGGGGTGATTGGTAAGACTCCTCTTCTCTCTAATGAACCTCCTGTTTGTAAGTCCTCAAAATGAAATGTTGTCCTATTCCTCGTCAGAGCTCATCAGAAAGTTTTTGGTTTGAAATTGGGATTCTGTTGAATATGCAAATTTGACTTGTTTATGACATTAGTCAACAAGTTTAAACTACCGGTATGTATAAATTTTCCAGCTACTCCAACTCTAATGAGCTCATTAACTTTACATCCTTTTTGGTTGTTAAGGGAGGCATTTGTTATTAGTTTCTTGCTCACTTGTTAGAAGTTTTGTTCATTAGATGAGGCAGGCATGCCTTATTTTTGGAGAAACAAAATTAAGTGTCAAAATTGCAAAGAAATTGCTCTTTCTTTTTAAAGTGAAGGTGGGACACATGCTCCATCTCAAACATTTTTCATTTCTAATTGAGTTAAATATCCAATAAGTTTCTGAGAGGCAACCTTTGATTAAATTGTATTTAGGATGGAGAAGTAATTAATAATTTAACTATAGCATCGATTGAAGTATGATATTGGGAGCATGGAGAGATCAAATTTATTTACTGCTCTGATAAATTTAGAACATATAAAATACTAACTTGATTTTAATAGGATTTTTATTTTTGCTGAGGGTATTTGACCACACCTAGGTCAAGTTCACTGTGTTAGGAGACCACTTGACTCTGAGTATAAATACAATATTTGGGCTATTATGAGCTGCTTTCTGGGATTGTTTCTACTCAGTTACCCCAGTGTAATCAGGCAAAGATTAAAAGAATGACAGAACCTTTCCTCCAAGAGAGGACTGGTGGAATTTCTAAAGCTAACCATTTTGAGTTGTGAACTTGTATGCTAACCCACCAGCCAGACAATTGATGCCAGGTGTTCCGTGGCTTTTGTAGCAGGACAGTGTCACAGAGCTCTACCAGTTGTGTCAAATAAAGAAGCAGTGAAGTGAATTGTTTGTTACTAGAAATGCATGGGTCAGTCTAAGGGAAGCTTAATAATTTGATCTTTTTCTGGGACGGGAAAAGAAAATAACAACAAAGATATTAGCCATGAGATGTGTTTGAGCAAGGGTTAGAGTGAGGGTGGATTTGTTCATGAATAGACCATTCAGTGCTGTTCCATTGTTTAGGAAGGCACTGTACATTCCAAGGGTTTTTTTTTTCTTGTTGCCCAGCAATAAAGGTATAATACTTGAATGATAGGTGGTCAATTAAGGGACATTTGCTTGATATATTTGGAAGCACTTTTAAGTGTTTCTTTAATTTACATAAGGAAACTACTCCAAGAATAGTGAAAAATGTTTCTGGGTCTGGCCTTTTGGAGTATTAACAATCAACCAGACAATACCATTCTGTTATAACAGCCTTTTTATGAGCATGTGGAATTATGTAGAGACCTGCATAAATATGAAGCTTGAAAGAGTTAATTGCCACCATGACACAGCACCTCTTAACAATAATTACTTTCTGATATTGCTTGAGTGTGAAAATCAAGAATACCTAATTGTGCAAATTGCATGTAATTTTGAAGGTGGATTTCTAAGTGTATATATATAAGTTCAGATGGAACTGTTTTTAATTATTATCTGCTGTTTGATTTTATCAATCTTAAGGCTCTTTATAATCAAATTGAGTACCTCAGAGAAATTTTATGAATGTTTTGGTTTGCTTCCAAAATCCATGTGAAATTCCAAAGTTGAATAGATGATGTGGTTAAATATGATTCTTTCATATGTCTCTTCCAAACTTTCAAATTTCTTCAAGTTATATCGTGTTAAGCTCCATTCTTTTGCCTTCCATTTACTAAAATGTTGATGAAGTCAAGGCTCAAATCTGGCAGGTCAACTTCTTCTCGTTCATCATAACATTCCAAAACCCAGCAGATAGTTGAGCAAGTTGGAGTTAGTTGAGTGGATGAATCTTCTTGAAGTTCTCCTTTTGTTCTCTTAAAGGTTGCTGTCTCATCTATCATTGAGCTTGTAAGGGTACTCTTTTGCGGTCTTTGAAAGTCTGCTTTCTCTCTTTGCTTATTAGATTCTGATTTGATTTCTTTGAGATTATTGGAGATCTCACTTAAAGCCTCTGTCATGGCAAGATCAAACCTGACTTTTTTCTTGATCTGCTGACTTTTTTGCTGGGTAAAGTTGCTATTCATTGTGGATAACACTTACAGCATCTGAGCAAATGCGTAGACTGTTGATCTCCAAAAACAACAGAACTGACCTCCTGGAAGAATTATTTATATACTTACCTGTATGTCAATAAGCAATTAATTTTTGCTATTAATTTCAAGAAACAATGACATGCATTCCTTTTTATTCACATAGCCATGGCTATGTGGGTGTTGCAAGAGATTAATAAATGTTGATGGTTATTAATCACCTCTTAAATGGGTTGTCTTGCTTGAATGAGTGTATTACTGATTCATTGGTGTACCAAGTTTTAGAATTACACACTATGTCTAAAACCAGAAGCATATAACCCTGAACTCTTTACCGTAAGCTTCTGCTTATACCAAACTATTACAACTAGTTATTGCAAATAAATGATGATAATCAGTAACTTTCTAAGAGTGCCTTCATGGTGGTCCTTAATAATTTTGAAGGGCACTTGAAGTGAGTGAAGTATTCTTTTGTTTAAAAGACTAGTTCTACATTCAAAATCAAGCATTTCTAAATTAAAATGGAATTGGAAACTCTTAATTTTACTACCAAGTCTCCAAACTGTCTTCCATGCCTTTCTTAAAATTTTATCGTGAAGAAATTGGGCAGTGGTAAATGAAGGAAGTGATAAATTGTTCTACTTATCACTTTTCTGCTTGAAAATGTATTTGTATTGTTTGGAGCAATTGTCTCATGGTCTCTCCTGATGGTGAAAGGGTTAAGCCTGAGATTTGTTGCAGACATGGTATTGAGTAGAAAAACTTCAATCTGATTTCTTCATGTGGCTGAGGCAAGTAAGGCACAATGGCCACCTTGTCTTGAAGACCTATCATATAATCATCCTAATGATTTGCAATTATTTCAGCTATGCCATATCAGATTCTGCTTACCGTTCTATGAAAGAAGAAAGAGTTGATCAATGTGTTTTGATTTCTGGGGAGAGTGGATCTGGAAAGACAGGTAAATGGCCTTCTTTATTGATACCCATAGGAGTGAACAGTGTCCAACTCCTCTTAACAATTTTATTTTATGGTCAAATTGAGAGGTGATAAAAATTAATGGCCTTTTGATGCACTCTGTCATTTTTAAAGTCTTAATTAATGGGTGGGGTGGGGGCAAGGGGGGTAAAAGGTGAGAATCTTCTAGTTGCTAGTGCCTGCTCTCTGCATCTTTGACTCCTGTCTTGTTCTTTTTACTAGAAGACATTGTTGATCAATTATGATCTTCCAAATTTTTGTCTTTTTCATTTCCCTCTTTTTCTTGTCCTGATGAAAGACCATTCCCATTTCCTGTCCTCTCAGTTCTTGTATCTCTCTGTGTTCTGCTCTCTAAGGCTTTCAAGGCACCCAAACCCATGCCCTTCCACTCTCTGTATAGAATCAAACACTAGTGTCAAAAATTGGACACAATTGAGTGTCTAAAATCGGATGCTAATTTCCAAAATCAGATACTAGTGCCCAAAAGTGGAGGCTTATTTCCAAAATCTGAAACTAGTGTCTAAAATAGAACACTAGTGTCTGAAATGGGACACAAGTGTCTAAAATCCGACACTGGTGTGCAAAATAAGACATCCAAAATCAGATACTAGTGTCCAAAATTGGTCACTGGTGGTTTCCAAGATCAGACACTAGATTCTAAAATCAGACATTAATATCTAAACTTGGACATTTATGTCTAAAATTGGACACCAATGTCCAATATCAGGCACTATTCTGATCAAAAGGACCATTTTCATATCTTGTCCTCCCATTTCTTTTACCCCTCCTACCTAGTTTCCTCTAGTTTCCTAAAGCAGACACTGATTTCCAAAATCACATACTGGCGTCTAAGATCAGAAACTAGTTTCCAAGATTGAACATTACTAGTGTCCAAGATCAGACACTTAAGTCTAAAATCAGACACCAATGTCTGAAATTGGACATTTTTTTTTATGTCCAAGATTGGACACCAATGTCCAATATCAGGCACTATTCTGATCAAAAAGACAATTTTCATTTCTTGTCCTCTCATCTCTTTTACACCTCCTGCCTCCAAGGCATTCAACGCTCTCAAATCCATCCCCTCCACTCTGTATCTTTTGTGTTTGTATTTCTCAGTATATAAGAAGGAAGATACTTCAAGGTTTCAAAATGATAAATTCCCACTTTAGATAAAACAGCTTCAGTTGACCTCATCAAGATATTCTTTGTTGGTATTGTTTAATTAGAGGCATCCAAAAAGATCCTGGAGTATTTAGCGGCAATAAGCACTCACTCTGATGATGTGGAGCGAATCAAAGATAGGCTCCTTGAGAGCAACCCTGTTTTGGAGGTAATGTAGAGGAAATACAGTAATGTCAAGTCATTTTTAATATCAACAAAAATTCCTCTTCAATGAATTAAAGATTGAAATGAAAATGTAAAAACAGAATGATGTAATAATAACCTATAACTGTAATGAGGACGGCAAAGATCAATGCAGATGAGAGATGATGCATTTGAAAACTTGTGTTAAAATTTGTCAAAGTGGACAATCTGTGATCCTAACTTGTGAGACCCTACAACATTTCTGCTTCACCTGGATTAAGGGAACAGCTCTCAGGAGAGCCACTGGTAAAGTTAAGGATAAATGAATGTGTAACTGTATGATTTTAAGCTAGCTGGATTTCACACAAAAACAACTACTGTCTTTAAATCACAGCAGAGAAATAATTACAATTTGCAACAAAGTTTGCCAATCAGACAGAAAGTTTTAGCAGCATGCAGAAAATGAGACATGGACTTGATGCCTGCTAAAGTATTATTAGAGCTCTGCTTGACTTATGTTTATGAGAAGAAATTACTCTACCATGCCTTAAAACTGACCTCATGCTAATGGTCTATGTTGTTTTGCTTGAAGTTAGTTTTATCAGTGGGATAAAAAAATATGAAAAACATTGAGAAACCTCCTGTGTCTTGTTTCTTTTCTTTCCCTGCAATTCAAATCATAGCTTTGCAGTTTTAATTTCTTCTAGGCTTTTGGCAATGCAAGGACCAACCGTAATGACAACTCAAGTCGATTTGGCAAGTACATGGATATTCAATTTGATTTCAAGGTGAAGAGCAAAGATTATGTGGGAGATCTGGTGACCTAACAGTTATATAGTGCATATAGTATTCATTATGGAGTGTGCACAATTATTTAAGTGTTACTGATAAGTTTTCAATTTTAACTATTTTTTTTAATTAAAGAATATGACTCTTTATAATACTGCTAGCAACTGATTCATGAGAACTATTTTCTTCAGGGCTCTCCAGTTGGTGGACATATCATAAACTACTTGTTGGAAAAATCCAGAGTTGTCCACCAAGCAAAAGGTTTGTTAGGGTTTTTCCTAAACTTATTTTAAAGTGTTTAATATTTAGTTTTATAGATCAGTTTTCCACTCAATGTGGAACATGTGGTGACCTAGTGTTGGTCACAGTAGATTTGGAGATGTATTTGTGTTCTTGACTGAGGAACTTTACTCTCATCATGCTTATCTCCCCAACTAGTCGGAATCCTATTGAGCACTTTGTCAAGTCAAGTCCAAAGAAACCTTTCAAAAACCCTAAGACAGAGAAAAATGCCTGACTTGGGTACTATTACATTTTTATAGGAAAATTCATTACTTGACAAGGGAATTCTGCATTCAATTGCATGCGAAAACCAATAATGCACAAATCATGAAGTGATGAGTGCGATATCTGTTTTCAAGTGCAATTAAACGCAGAATTCATGAGTCAAATTATGGATTTTCTTTGAATCACATAATTGAAATAAAAACAAGAAAAAAAAGGAAACAGTGTTACTCATAGTTGTTATGTATGGGTAGATATGAAACTATATCACTTAGCCTTGCTTTCAACTCACAATTCCATGTGAAATACCTTGCTTTTTTAAACCAATCAGAATGCGAGATTTTATTCAATGATACAATTCTATTATAAACTACGATACGGCTTAACCCTTTAACCCCTTTGAGTGACTAACATATAATTTCTCCTGACAATATCACCCCTGGATCACACATTAAGGTCACGAGAATAAAGGAAATGATCACCAACTAAAAGGTTCTTGATTGGTAAACAAATTCTCCCAGGCAGCACCCTTGGAAATATACAGAGAACAGTACGGAGAAGATATATACTGATGTTAGCGTGAAAGGCATTCATGGTGTCCAGGCAGAGGGTTTTTACCTGTAGTGGACTAGACTTCAAACTGCTACATGCTTGACACTATTACAGCTATGATATGCTCCTGTGGTACAGGTCACTTGGTTCACGCAGACATTATTGAATTGTTCTTTGTAGGTGAAAGGAATTTCCACATCTTTTACCAATTATTGCAAGGTGGTGGTGACCAGTTGCTCGAGAACCTTGAACTAGAACAGGAAAGTTCACAATATTTTTATCTCAACCAGGTAGATATATATATATATGTTCAGGATTTGCAAGTTCCTTTCCTTTAAATACTCATTCCTTTGCCATATATGTTTAAACTAAATGGTACATGACCTGTGCCTGATAGTTTGTCACCAACGGTGGGATTACTCATACTTCAAACCTTAAAATTGTTGGTTTCAACCTCATAATGTCAAAAAAAAATGTCCAAATTCTCATTTCTTCATTTTGACCATGTTGAAGTTAGATTCTGAAAACTTAATTTAAATTATTAGCTTTGTCAACAGGCAGGGACTCCACAACAGTTCGTGCCTATTACTGCAGGCCCAGTAAACATCACAGTAATCTCACGAGAGGGTTCTTTAACGTCCCCTGCCCAACCAAATTAACTAATTAATAGATGCAGGAGACTGGACCTATGGTTTATTTGTCCTTTTCCGAGAAGACAAGAATGTCTATCCATTTCTTGATGTTAGAGAAAGGTAGCACATTCTCCTCAGTTATTTTAAGACCTTGAGTGTTGGTCTGGCCAGGGTTTGAACCCTTGACCTCCTGCACAACAATTCAGCACTCTAACCAATTGAGCTAACTCTTTACATTTTTACTATTTCAGGGTGGTGACACTCATGTTAAAACGCTAAATGATGCCGCAGACTTCAACCATGTAAAGAAGGCTTTGTCCGTTATTGAATTTTCTGCAGAAGAGCAGGATGCATTGTTTGCTATCATTGCCTCAGTCCTCCACCTTGGCACTGTTGGGTTTCTGGAACCAGAAGTTGAACATGGGGAAGTTAAACTTGAGAATGGGAGGCCAGTCAACATTATTTCAAAGGTGCAATACCAAAGCATGAAGATTTTTTGAAGTGAAAAAAGAAATTTAGGGGTCAGGTGCACTTTAAATTTGTGCGGTATGATACATATATCACCCTAGTGTTCAACACACAAGGCTGGACATAAAAATGTGTGGGTTTGAAAGGCAAGAGTTCAAAGGTCAGAGTGCAAACCCTGCCTTGATCAAGGTGTTGTATTCTTGGGTAAACCACACTTAACTCTCACAAGGCTAGGGTCCATTCTTGAAATGGCTACTTGTTAAGTAGTAGGATAAGTGGAAAAATTGATGGGATAGGATTTATGGACTACATAACAACCTGTAACTGGAGTGTTGAAAAAAATTGATTTTAAACAAAGGAAATTCTAAATAATCGAGTGAACTTTCAACAAGGGATAAGTAGAGATCTCTCTGTTAGATTGTTAGCAAAATGGTGTTAACTTGTGAGTATCGTTACAAGCTTATTGCATGCAAATTATAAAGAAAAACTAATGACTAGATTTTTTACAAATGAACAAAACCAATTTTAAAGGGCTGTTTATATTTATTCATGTCACCATGGCAACAGCACATACATCAGCTTAACTATCAAAAATAGCAAAGTTTGTGTAGTTAACTTGCTTGCTGCCAGTTTTGGCAACCAAGAGATCAAGGGTTTTAGAGAAAATGGTGAAAGAAACACAGGTATCAAAAGGTGTGTTCAGCCACCTTAACAGCCTGGTGTATCTCCTAAGTGATTTGGAAATTCAGTATCTAATATATAAAGGTGTATGTATGTAATAAATCTACAGCTTGTATTTATTTAATTCACAGCTTGTATTTATTAAATCTACAGCTTTTAGGCTGCCCAGAAGAGGTCCTAGAGAGAGCACTCACCAGCCGAACGCTTGAGACTAAAGGAGATAAGGTATTGGACAATGCCTTATTTCAAATCATTCTGCTGATTTGTGTATTTTACAGTTTTTTTATGCAAAATAAACACTGGCTTAATTCCTACAAAAATGCACAACTGCTTGTGTCTTTACCATAATTATTCTCACTAATGGGTTATTTTGCCCCTTGTATTATAAAAAAACAATTGCATGTTTCTTCATGAAGTAAAAATTGAAATGGTTGTATTTTTCAGAAGGCTTGTGCAATTTCTGCTTCAACAGTATGAATAACATTAATCCTTGATGTTGCTCAGCCCAGTGCAATTATAATTATACTAATCTGAACACTGCCATTTACCTACCATCTGATGGTAACTTTACAAAAGCATTATGATACAAAATGTTCATTTTTCCATGAACTGTACCTGATTTAGGTTCGAACACCACTGACCAGTGAGCAAGCAATCTATGCACGTGATGCATTGGCAAAGGCTGTGTATGACAGAATGTTTACCTGGCTTGTTGGCCGAATCAATACTTCTCTTAAGAACAAGGTATGGCCAAGAGGACTGTTAAGTGATGTGTATGTTAAATAGGTTTTTTTTTTTTATTAATTCTTGGAATCCAAGAAGTGAAAAACTTGCAGGATTTGAAAGCTTGGTGTTCAAGCTGATGACTGTGCTTGTCCTTGTTGGCTAGTCTGCCTTTTGTTATGTATCTTAAGTTGTCATTAAAACTAATTCAGTGTGACTTTGTTTGTTTTGTCCATAGCAAAATTTTTAATCCAAGGTATTGTTCTTAGAAGTTTGATAGCAAGTTTGACTTTATCTTTTCAGTCTTATCGAGGAAAGAAGACACTCATGGGTCTTCTGGATATCTATGGCTTTGAGATTTTTGAGTCAAACAGGTACAAAGACAATTTTTACTTTTCTTTACTGCAAGTGCCTCTTGTAAAGAAATAGTTTTGAGACTGCACCTTTAAGATAATGAGGTTTCAGACATGTTTCTTTGTTTTTTCTTTTCTTTCCTTCAAGCTTTGAACAGTTTTGTATTAATTATTGTAATGAGAAGCTACAGCAGCTTTTTATTGAGCTGACATTAAATGAGGAACAAGAAGAATACAGAAAAGAAGGAATTAAGGTAGGTATTGCCCCTCTAGACTTTGAATTTGTATATTATTCCTCTACACTTAACCATCATTACACATTATTTTCCACACTGTTCTTTATACATGTTCCAAGGTGCTGACAAGGAGAATTTGTTTAACAATCAATGGCTGCTTTTAATTAGTCAGTGATCATTTCCTCCATTCTTGTAACTGTAATGTTTGATTTAGGGGTGATGTTGTGTGGAGAAGTTAGATGCTAGTCACTGCAAAGGTTCAAAGGTTAAAGAAGCTCTATTTTGCAATTAAAAGAAAGTGATCGAGACCAGCTCATGTTTTGATTTTATTTTGTTTACAATGGTACCATACACTGTCAGGCTTCTTGTTCTACTCAACATGCATCTATCTGAGAATAGATAGCGTGTAGCATTCAGCTAAACAGATTGCAGATATGAAATGCAAACTGTACCTTCATGCTTAAAGGATATTGGATGGTGGGTGCTTCAATTACCGGAATGATTTTTTCTTCTGGAGATAAATGTTTTATTTTTTATTTGGTTTTAGTGGGAAAAGGTGGAATTCTTTGACAATAAGATTATCTGTGATCTTATAGAAGCCAGACATCAAGGTGTCATTGCATTGCTGGTAAAGTTCACCATCTGTGTTATTTTACTTGAAAATGAAAAGCACACAACTCATAATCTGTAGTGGCTGAAAGGGTCTCTCTCTTTCTAGTCAATGAAATTAGAGCAACCTAAGCAAGGATATTACCAGTAAACTGAATGGCTGAATTTTGTGTAAAGGTGGCTCAACTTTGCTTTTATGAAAGCTTTTCAAAGGCCAGAGTGCTTTTGTTGATTGTTCTAGGAAAATAGCTTTGAGATATTGACTCATTGAATAAACATCTTATGCTTACCCTGCAATGTTTTTTCCACCAGCTATAGAAATGGTTGATGTTTTTGTCACTGAATGTTATAAATTAAATTTATAAAACAAAATTTTTGTTTTTTCATTTGACCTGCATGGTGCTTTTATCAAATACATTTACTCAAAAGGAATGATATTATCTTTATTGAGGGACATTTATTTTAGAATTTTTAGAATTTTGCTCACTGGTGTTGTTAAACTACTAACAGTAACTGCTGTTTTTGAAAAAGGATGAAGTAGGAATTTTGATAATGTTTTGAGGAACCAGGGGTCCGTTTCTCGAAAGTCCCAGTAACTTTACGGGTCCGAAGCCATGTTTTCAAATCAATATTTAAAGAATAGGAAAGCAATTTCTGGCACCCAAACCAGTCCTTTTGTTTCTTTAACTGATAGCTTTACTGTATCTTTTTCAAAATTTGTGAAATCCCCATTTTGAATGAAAACAGAACAGCTTTACGGGCCCATTAATTTACCGGGACTTTCGAGAAAAAGGCCCCAGGAGAGATGTTATGAAAATAGACACACCGATTAGAAACTGTGACACAAGTTTGTTGTTAAGACAAATTATTGCACAACTCGGGCAGTCAGAGGGCCAATAACTAAAATCAACCAATTAAAATGCTCTATTGCTGGTCCAATATTCTCTCAGTATTGGACCGGGCACTGTCCCGAATGGTCCAGAATGATACTGCACTTGTGTCCCTTTGAACTTCAGTCGTATAATAAATCTCTTATTAACCAAGCTTGCTCGGGACTGTACCAGAAGAATATCAGCCCTAGGGCTTTTTTGTATGGACCTCGCTGCGCTCGGTCTGTACTGTCAAGACCTCGAGCCAATATATATACCTTATTAACCAAGCGCGAGGGCCGTACTGGGAGAATATCGGCCCGAGGTCTTGACAGTACAGACCAAGCGCAGCGAGGTCCGTACAAAAAAGACCGAGGGCCGATATTCTTCCAGTACGGTCCCGAGCAAGCTTGGTTAATAAGAGATTTATTATACGACTGAAGTTCAAAGGGACACAAGTGCAGTATCATTCTGGACCATTCGGGACAGTGCCCGGTCCAATACTGAGAGAATATTGGACCAGCAATAGAGCATTTTAATTGGTTGATTTTAGTTATTGGCCCTCTGACTGCCCGAGTTGTGCAATAATTTGTCTTAACAACAAACTTGTGTCACAGTTTCTAATCGGTGTGTCTATTTTCATAACATCTCTCCTGGGGCCTTTTTCTCGAAAGTCCCGGTAAATTAATGGGCCCGTAAAGCTGTTCTGTTTTCATTCAAAATGGG